AATAAAAAATCAATTTTTTAGATAAAAAAATCGCTCCCAACCAATCTGCTAAATTTAGAAGGATAAAATCCATCACAGTAACAATTTAGACTCCCCTTCAAACGATTATAAGGTTTAGTGAAGTGATGGCTCCAAGTTGGGTGACCTATAAAATTTTGTATTTATCCGATCCAGCAATTATGAGAGGTGACCGGCAAACCAAAACAAATTAGAAAAGATCTGATACTGTAATGAGTAATATGGCGAATTGTTTATGGACGCCTCAGTATCGAATTGCTTCCCCATGCTCCGATTCTGTCCCAGTGCATAATCGCTTTCGGATCTGCAATTTCCGTCAACCAATTCTGCTCCCCGTTGGTAGATATCGTAATTCTACACACTTCACCATAATTCGTTGTGGCTCCAACAACAACAGCACGAATAATCAAAATGAAACAACTGGTATTCAGCTTTACAGAGATATTGAGAGGTATGTCTCAGGTCTATTTCTTACCTAATTCAATTTCTTCAGTTAAAAGATTCATAGCGTGCTATTGGCCTATGCAAGTTATTTGTATTTTTTTCCCTTTCTGGAGGATTTTCGGGTTCAGCGTGGTTTATTTCTCGTAATAAATGCATTTAAGAAGTAAGAAACTCACTAAGATAACGTTTCGTATGAATAACTAGAAAACGCAGGAAACGAAAACAAAAATAAAAAGGAGTTATGAATTGTTTTGATGCTTTGTATGGCTGGTTTTGCCACATAAGAAATAGGAGGATTGTTGATGTACTATTTATAAAAATTCCAACTTTTGTGAATGTTTACTCAGTCTATCAAAGCTAATGTGGGTGTCAAAACAATTTTAGTTTCCAAAATCTCCCATCCAAGTCACCTGCTTAACATACGCTGCTAGCTTCCCCAAACTCTAGTGACCATCTACCCATACAGCATTGAATAAAACAGTATCTGAAATTCCACAAGGGGTTGAATATTTTATCTTGAAGGTCTGTTCGGCTTCATTTTACCACATAAACATGCTGAAATGCATTTCAACCGAGTTATTTGAGCTCCCATTTCTTTGCTTTCATCCTAAATTCAGGAAAAAAAAAATCAAGTTCAATTAAACGAGTTTTTAGTTTATGAAATATGGGAATCAAAGTAACTAAGAATAGAATCTACAATTTCTAATTATTATAAGATATATTTTTATCTGTAAGTAAATGAAAACAGGTACGAACAGGAATCGAGCTTCCCCTTCTGTAATAATTTTCAAATTTTCCTGTTTGTTTATTCATTTAGTAGGCTTTGCTGAACAAAGTAGGAAATACTCTATTGCCTTCCTGTATGAGAAATTACATGAGGTACTTATTGTATCAGTGCTGAGGCGGGTGGCCGTGTTAATTAGGATAAGATACTATAAATGACAATTATCAAATTTTAGATTTTCTTTATTGCTATATCTAAATAAAATTGATTAAACTATGATTTATGTTGCTTTATGGACAGAGTACTTACAGAGACGGTAAAGCAATTTCAAGATGGACGTAATTCAGGAGACTGGAATGAAATTGAGGTATACTTTGGTATCGTTAAATGATCTGAGTAAATTCAGAGCTTGCTAAAATAGTTCTTTCACGACCAGTTTACTTTAGAAGATAGATTGGGTTTTTAGACTTCTTTTGGTGCTTTTTATTGAATTTTACTCTGGGAATACCTTGACAAGAAATGAATCCACTTTCTTTCTTAATTTTATTTATTTATTTATTTATTTTATTGCAATTATAAGTACTTCTGGAATACCATGACAAGAAATGAATTCACTTTCTTTCTTTCTTTCCTTTTTTCTTTATTTTTTTATTTTTTTAATTGCAATTATAAGTACTTGAAACATCAAGAAATGATGGAGTGGAATTGTTTGCTGAAACATCAAGAAATGAGAAACGTTACTGCAGAAATAAATTAATTTTAATAAATTTAACTGTTTGAAGTTTTTAATTAGATTTGTACAAAAGATGGTATGGATAAACAATAAATATAAAAGTAAATGATGGAGCATTCTTTGAGATGCTCTTTGGCTTGCTTGTCTTACGTCATTTAACAATTGCAGTAAGTTACTTGGGCAATTTTACTGTTGATGTTGAGTTGGGGAAATGCTAAGGAAAAGAAATATGCAGCATTGCCCTTCATGGAAGCTCCCTTTCATGAGAAAAAGGGAAATATATATATATATATATATATATATATAATTAAGGTGTGTATTTTGATAATATTGCTGAAAATATTCAATGTGTCGTGTAGGGAACATGGGTTTTGAGACCAAGCAACTCCAAATTGAGGTCAATTGTACATTTTGTTGGGGGCATATTTGTTGGAGCTGCACCTCAGCTAACCTATCGCTTGTTCCTGGAACGCCTTGCTGATAGGTTAGTAGTTTTCTAACTGACAAAGATTTTAATTGAGTCTATATTGTTTTTACAGTTAGGTAGGTATGCATTTCCCATCTTTACAATAAATCGTCTACTATGATAAATAAATGAATACAACATATCTCTTCTGAGTTCCTTTACTTTTCTGACATAATTCTCATGTTTATTATTCATGTCATATTGCCTGGGTTCTAATATGATATAGAGCCCGTTTGATTATTATTTTTCTAAGAATGAGAATGAAAAATATAGTCGTTACGGGATTCACACAAGATATAAAACGTGAAATATGGTGACATGATGTGATGAATAATGGTTATATATTTCATTTTTGTGGCTAAAGAATGGAAATCAAATGGGCCCATAGTGTCAGATGTTACTGATGGGTTAAAGCTTTACATCTGGCTTTGACTTGCCAAATTGAATTCTGCTGATCCCGTATTTTACCGGAAGTCCCTTTCTTTCTTCCATTTTCTTTCTTTTCTGGTATAGTATTTATCCTTTTTAAGAAATGGGGAAATTAGTTATTTGCTTTTTGCACATTTTATGAGGCAGGGGTATATTGGTTATTGCCACACCTTATGCGAGTGGTTTCGATCACTTCCTCATTGCAGATGAAGTTCAGTTTAAATTTGAGAGGTGTCTTCGTTTTCTCCACGAAACAGTAAGTTTGAATTTTGAGATTGCAGAAATTTTCAATTCCTAGGCCAGGGTGTGTTATTTGAGTTGCTTTTTTCTCAGGTAGAGGATCTTCCTACTTTTGGGATTGGGCATTCTCTGGGATCAGTCATTCATCTTCTGATTGGTTAAAAAATTATTTTTTATTATAATCCTTAGTAATTTCAGATTTGCTCATCTTCAATTGATTAAATTGTTGATTGATCATCAGGCTCAAGGTATGCCGTGCAAAGAAATGGGAATGTATTAATGGCTTTCAACAACAAGGTACTTAAATGCTTGCACTTACAACCGTGAAATCTTCTATCAATACTATTTGCTGAGTCTATAGTTTACTGAATTTGTTTCAGATTTTATCAGAGCATGTTTGGGTGGACTTATTTCTAAAAAATAAGCCACATCCAATGTCTTATTTGAGAAGTCTGATATTTATATAGAGCATGTTTGGGTGGCCCTATTCGTCCAATGCCTAAAAAAACCCCGAGGTTCCAACTCCAAGAAGCCCAAGTATGAATTTGTTGCATGTCAGAGTTGTAAGAATTGGACATTAGGAAACCATCATTGCTCGAATGCAATTCTTTTTCTACACCTTTATCCATGTTGATTTATTTATTCCTCTCAATTCTCATTCTTCAGTGATGTGAAATTGACAAATCAACTGTACATGCTACTTTCAGGAAGCCAGTGTAGCCATTCCATTATTCTCACCTGTTCTTGTCCCAATGGCCCAAGGTATTGGACCATTTCTATCTCAAGTAGCCTCATTGCCGACAATTCGCCTTGGGGTAAGAATCTGAATTACTTGATCTGAACATTTTATAATGTTAAGTAGTTTAAGTATCCAGTCAGTTTTTCCTTCCCTTTCATTTTCTTGGCAACAATAATTATAAACTCATGAATATTTTTATCCTTATTATTTATTTATTTTTTTTGCTTAAAATTTGAAACTTGCAGGCTGAGATGACTATGAAACAATTAGAGAATCTTAGCCCTCCCATTATGAAGCAAGTTTTTCCTTTGGTTGAGCAGCTTCCTCCACTATACATGGACTTGGTTAAAGGGAGGGAAAATTTCTCTCCAAGACCAGAAGAAACTCAACGATTGGTGTGTCTAGTCTCACGCTTTTAGCATTAACACCAATAGTAGCACTTAATCTAGTTATGTGTGTTTGTGTACAGTTAAATTTTATATTATGTGTACCAGCTTGTTCCATTTCCAACTTAGTGTATAGACTTCGGGAGTTAATTTAAGTTGGATTCTTTACAATTCTTGTCTGGGCATTGGAAGATTATTGAGAATTTAGTTAATTCCATTTTCAAAAAAAATTTAATTACCGTTTTTAACTACCTCTCATACTTTGATTTTGGCTATGAAACTTTAGCGCCTTGGTAATCTCACCACCTGCAATTAGAGTTTCCATAGAAAGGATATTATCTAAGAATGTGCTGAAAAATGTATTAAAAGTCAGCCATAGGATTAAAGCCATGTGTACTATAGTGATGTTAAAGGGTGCTAACGTTTAGATGGCCTACTTCAAATAGTTGAGTAATTGACCTTCACTAGACTTTCCACAGTGACATCCGCAATTTGTTAGCTTTTTTTTAGATTTAATGTCACTGGAATGTTATGGATGATAGTGATTCATACACAAACACAAGGTTAATCAATTTATATTATGTTCAAGCATTCCTTTTATAAGTTAGACGGACTCCTTTTACGCATCAATACCAAGTCACAACAATTTTATTTACTGTAGATATCTTGACACTTATTGCTTTAGGAAAGAATTCTCAGCTGGCTAATCAACTCAGAATTTATTTAATTATTATTATTTATTTTTTTATGTCAAGCTGGTCCAGTTTTCCAATTATGGTTAGCTTCAAGAGATAACAAAACATGGACAATGTTCATCTTCGCAACTAGGGAAAATGTTTTTGGTAATCAATACTATAGATCTGAGTGAAACCCTTAGCAACCAACCTCGTCTTATACATCTAGATAGAACCATCTACCTTATAGTTGATACTGAAAAACCATTTGTACCCCCCACTCAATTTTTTCTTCTAGGTAAACTGATGAGGCTCCGAGTACCTTTTTTTTAGGGCTCTATCCGCTATAACTTCTCTCCACTCTGGAATAAGTAAAGCCTCTGCTACATTCTTCAAAATTTCTTATTCCGATAGATTAGCATTCAAGGCTTCAATTGTGGTTGAAAACTTATAGTAGGATACATGTGACAATTTATGGTAGGATAAATATTTAGGGATAGTATGCATTGTACAATGCCTTATATGGGACCAATAGGTATGTTCAAGTCATCATAAATAGAACCAGGCATGGGAATATAATTAATTGATCCTGGCTCACGTTCTTGGCAATGTGAGGGAGCAGGTTGAATATTAGTATGATTCAGATTATTCTGTGTTGAATAGACAGGTAGCTCGGACTGGTGTTCAAAAATAAACTCTTTGAACTAGTTTGTTAATTAGCATGTTGTGGTGACTTTGGCTCAGGTGATCCAAGGTCTAAAATTGGACTAGGTGGGCTTGGATGGACTGTTTGAGTACTTGATATTTGGGAAATTGGGCTTGATGTTGGGTAAAGACAAAGGAGTAAAGCATTTCATAGACGTGATCAAAGTTGACTCGTGTGTCAAAGCTGCTAATATGCTTCATTTTTTGTGCTTTATTCATTTTTCCTTTTCCTCCATTGCTTTTTCCATGTGTTGTGTTTGCTTTATGCTTTAGATTGTAAGTTGCATAGTTCAAGTGTCTAAAGTCCGGGAGTCCATTAATAGGGTGCTTGGGCTAGAGGATCGATACATCTCTCCATACTATCTACCTTTTCACTAACACACAGATTACCCTTGGACCTTGTTGAACTCTTCCATTCTTTTTGTCTGCCTCGGTTTAAAATCACAAGGTAGCAAGTCTATACATATTGTGCTGTAAACTGGCAGGAGTGTTCCTCACTGTCAAGATCTTAAATTCCTCTATCCTAGACAGTTCACATGTTCCATATTCCGTGGGAGTAGGAGGGTCCAAGGAAGAAAATCACATTTAGCAACTAGTTCCTTTTCCCGGAATGCTTTCAGAGAAGAGGACTAGCTATCATACCATGTTGGATAGCAATGATGCCAAGGAGTATATTGAAATTATAAATATAGATAAATTAATGTGTCTCCTCTCTAATAGTTTAACATTTTAGATGGGGTAATTCAACATAGTATGAATTAATCTTATCTGTAACAGGGTTGTACTGTATTTATTAAAAATGTTATTTGTGATGGAAGATGCCAACAAGTGAGAGAGCTCAAAACACGAGTTTCTTTGGGTGGTATGGATTACTGTTGGATAATGCTACTATTGTGTTGTGGTTTGATTTCTTTGATGAATCCTCTTTTATTCTTTTAAGCTTAGAAAATATAACATGATACCTGTATGGATGTTATGCTAAGCTTAGGAAAGGTAAAAGTTTGTTTCCAAACATGTGTGGATACATTAATATTTCTTGTTTCAAGTGAAAAGTTATTTTTTTCTAAAATATCTATTACCTCAAAAAAGTAACTTATTTTCAACTTTGGCCAATTAGAAAAATATTTATTTTATGAGCATGTTTAGAAAGTGTTTATAAGTGGTTTAAATCGTAAACAGATAGAAACGAGTAATGGATGAGTGGGTAGTAGGTGTGGTTCTCTTGACGTGTGGATAAAAATTGGCTTGAATGTTTATAAACAATTCACAAACAGGAGCCAAACATAGGTTAAACTTACTTTATACATTTAAGTGATTTAAACTTAGCCAAACGTGTTCTGTCATAATTGAACTTTTATGGTGAGTGTGCAGACTAATGAATGTGACAGATTGGTACGAGCAGAGTTATGGAACCCTTTTTTTTATGACATAAATGAAAGGGAACTCTTTGCTTCAGTCAGTATATTTCTTATATAAATCAATTGCTTAGTCTGCTGGCAGAATTGCTTATGCAGTTTCACCTTTATATGATCCCATATGTTTGTCAATATGGCTATAATGCTCAACTCTCTTCCATCATCATAATGCACACATTCAATCTTAAGTTTGACAAATAATATTTCCTTTTATCGGCTGTTGCTCTCTCCATGCATCTTACCGTGAACAATGAGGAATTTCAATTTTGATTCCCTCATATGAACAAAGTACATCTCATTTTGGATTGTATATACATTTATAGTCACTGTAAAAGATCTCTCATTGAACATGTGGTTTTGTGATTCCAGATAAAATCTTACTACGGCATCTCAAGGAATCTGTTAATAAAGTTCAAAGACGATACAATTGATGAAACTTCAACACTAGCCCAGGTTCTTAGCTCGGAGTCTGCCATTAGCTCGATGCTGGATATGTCCATTCGCTTGTTGCCTGGGGATCATGGGCTTCCACTACACCAGGTGAAACTTCTAAATGATAATTTGAAGCATGCCGATTCTTGTTTTATACTATGTGCACTTACATGCTCGTGCACACGAGAATATGTCTACACTATTGAGCAATAATTAGCTGAATGTAACAAGGAATCATTAAAAATATGAATATCCAGGCTCTTCCAGATGTTCCCCCAGCGATGGCAGATGCAGTTAATCGGGGAGGAGAGTTTTTGGCAACTTTGACTGCAGGGACACCTTGGGAGACTGTTGCGAAGGACATGGGCAACTTTGGGGTAGACTCAACAATTTTTCGTGCAGAAATTTCGAAGGAAATAGATCTTCTTGTGGATGTGATCTCATCCTGGATTGATTCTAACAGCCATCCACGACTTTTAAGGCCACCAAGATTGTGAGCCAATATTATTGGAAAGGGGATAAGGGTTAACAGAAACTGCCAGCTGTGGTAACAAATATGCTTATATTTATTTTATTATAATCTTAGGTTGTCCACCATGCTTGTTCTGTAGCTTCTGCTATATGGACAAGAACGTCGATAAGAAATTTGTAAAGCTTGTTAACCTCAACCAATTTGTTTAGGTGTTAAGCTATGCCCAAGAATGCTCGGGGACTCCACAAGGGTCAAAAGCATCTTTTTGGCCATTCCAGATGGAACTTGCATAGGAAATTTATGCTTCAAAGTGACTGATGAAATTCCAACCTGCCATTTAATTAGTAGTGGAATTATCATTAACAAGTCATTTAATCCATGTTTGGCTCCCTTTAAAGGTTTAAATTGTTTGTTATAGTATCATACTCCACAATACATTCACAAAATAAAATATTTCACACAAATCAATAAGGTTTCTTTATTTTTTAATGATACATTTTCCAAAAAAATACTATTTAAAACTCTTAAATTTTCCAAATAATGGGTGACAAACGGGGCTTACGTGGTGCAATAATTATGCAGCATGAAATATCAGGTTTTCCAATAATTGTGCGCGCTCCGTGAGAGTTGGAGGCAGCATTGTGGTGCATGGTGTTTATACGTTCTATTAGCAGGTGTAGCACCATTCATTCTGATGAAAATTTGGTGGGATGGTTCTATATTTATGTGTGGTTGGACCGTGTCTGTCCATTCATAGAACGGCACTTTAGACTACAAATGTTCCACTTGTTCACTTGATGCTGTGATTTGAATGAGTAGTCCTATTATTTTGCATATATGAATGTCTTACAAGTGTTCTCATTCATTTGAGGATCGGTGAATTCAATGGTTTATTATCTTATTTTGTTCTTTCTCAACCTTTTTTCTTTTTTAAATATTGCTATCAAGATCCAATTAAAGCTATGGAGAGTAAATTCATATTCACACAAGGGAAACTCTGCCATTAATAGCCATTATCGATCCCATTGTTAAATTAGAGGCGTACATCTTTGTGTACACTCCATTGTATCGCCATATGACACAACATAAAAAATGATGTAAAACAATGTACATGTAACATGATTGAAAATGTAATTATGCTTCAAAATTAGGTAACAATGATGCTCCCTTTTCTTCTTCTCCCATAAAGTTGTCTAAGGAGACTATTCGTTGGGATAAAGCTTTTCCTCTATAGCGGCCTCGTGTAGTAAACCCCCTACGGGCATTCTCCATCCTAGTTGCAAGGAACCTTTGGTCTCTCGAGCCTCCTCTATCACCATTCTCTTGCGAATCTTCACTTTCTACTGGTTTTAGAATACTCTTCTACAAGTCTACGAATTAATTGAACAGATATTTGGTGCGGAGATGATAATAAAATTCTTGTAATAAGAATTATGTAATAAATAAAAACGATATTTGAACAATCATATTATATATATATTGAATAATAATTTATTATTGTTGAAAAGTATATAATGCCTCTATATTTATAAGCAAAATTATTTCCTAGTTCTACTACTATTAGGAAACTAATATAAGGAAATTGAAATAAATCATAACCTAAAAGAAGTTAGAAATCATATTCTAAACAAGAAATAAGTGATAGCTCAAGAATAACTAACCAAGAGGGGGGGGGGGGTGAATTCGAAAAATAAACTTAAATCAAGGAAGCAAAGGATATGTTGATCATTTAATAATCATAAGCAAATAAAAGCAAGTGGATCAAGCTGATTATGAGAAACAATTTTTCCCATTTTGATTATGACAAACAAGATGATTTGTGAAGAGTGAATAATTGATAAGGAATATAAATTTTAAATTTTGAATATAATCCATATATTCCCCTTATCCTTTACAAACAAATAGCCATTTATACAAAGCATAGCATATTTCAATTCAAGTATATATCAATCTCATTTTCAAAGCAATTATCATCATATTTTCCCCATTTTCAATGCTTTTTAAATCTATCTTATTGATTTTCAAATCAATCTTATTCAATTTCTTCCTTTTGGCATAAGCAAAAAGGTAGCACATATGAAAACTAGAGTATGGCATTTAAGATCAAAATTTTAAATTAACCATAGGAATTAATAATATTCCCCCTCAATTAAGCACAAAGTGCTAACTATATGCAAGTTTAAACAATACGATAATCATCACATTTACATCAAAATATTAATTGATCAAAATTTTAATTTAACCATAGGAATTAATAATATTCCTCCTCAATTAAGCAGAAAATGCTAACTATATGCAAGTTTAAACAATACGATAATCATCACATTTATATCAAAATATTAATTAAAGCATGAGTGATGGAATGTCAAAAGCATAATCATTTGGATAAGATTTATAAAAATTTCAACCAATTATGCATATAGAATCAATCATATGAGAACATTTAGTATGAATTCAATTTAGCCACATACTTTAAATTCTTCGATAATTCTCAAACCTCTTTGAATATATGAAATTCTATCAAGTGTTAGAGGTTTAATGAGAATGTCGGCCAATTTATATTCCGTATTCACAAATTTTAATACAATATTCCCCTTTTGTGGATGATCTCTTAGAAACTGATATCTAATCTCGATATGATTTGTTTGAGAGTACAGAATGGGATTTTTTTTGTCAAGTTTATGGTACTAGTATTATCACACATAATAAGTATATGATCAAATTATAAGTGATAGTCACTAAAAGATTGTTTCATCTATAGGACTTGTGCACAACAACTAGCGTCCGAGATATATTGGGCTTTGACAGTAGACAATGCAATAAAATTTTGTTTCTTACTAAACCATGATAAAAGTATAAAACCTAAGTGAGGTGTTCTACTAGTGCTCTTATGATCAATTGTGCAACCGGTCCAATCGACATCCGAATAGTTAAGTAAATCAATTTGAGTGTCCTTTGGACCCAAAGGCCTAATGTTCTAGTATCATTAAGATATCTAAAAATTCTTTTTATGGCACTAAGGTGTGATTTTTAAGGATTAGATTGAAATCTAGCCCATTAACACATGCAAAACATGATATTGGATCTACTTCCAGTTAAGTAAAGAAGGGATTTGATCATACCTCGATATTTAGTTACGTCAACGGAAGTACCTTGATTATCTTTGCCCAATTTTATAGATGAGCTCATTCGAGTGTTCACTGGCTTCAAGTCTTCTATTTCAAACCTCTTGAGCATGTCCAAAATATACTTATTTTGACTAATGAATATTTCATTATTAGTTTGTCTAATTTGGAGTCCAAGAAAGAATTTTAATTCTCCCATTGTACTCATTTCGAAATCCTTGTTCATACATTTGGAAAATTCTTCACAAAGAGAAATATTAGTTGCACAAAAAAATAATATCATCAATATAAATTTGAACGATAATCATATCATTCTTTTTGGTTATTCGCTTTCCTTATTGAAAAATCGTTTGAAAGTTGAAATTTATTCAATCTTTTATATCAAACTCTAGGAGCTTGCTTTAAACAGTAAAGAGCCATGTAATTAAAGAACTCCTATTTTCTAAAATTTTTATGATATTTTCAGCATTAGAGCATAAATCAACTCATATTTCTTTTTCGATTTAACAATTCTAGTTACAATAATGTTGATCATGTATTTGGTATCAAAGACATTCGAAATTTCATCTCTAATGATATCTTTCTAAGTTTAAAAACATAGTCCGGATAATTGTTATCTTTAAAATTAGGGGTTGCACTACAAAAATTTCTTCTTGAATAAAGCCATTTGGAAATGCATTTTTAACATCCATTTGATAAAGAGTGAATCCTTTATGGCAAGCAAATGCGAGAAGCATGCAAATAGATTCTAATCTAGCTACCGGTGCAAGAGTTTCTCATAATATGCATTCTTCTTGATTGTAATTTTGGACCACTAATCTAGCCTTGTTACGTATAACTATCCCACTTTCATCCCTTTTATTTCTAAAAAATCCATTTTGCACAAATGACGGTTTGATCATTTGGTCTAGCGACTAAATTCCAAATATAATTTTTTTCAAATTGATTTAGTCCTTCTTGCATAGCTAGTATTAGATGTGGGCATGAGTCAGTTCGGTTCGGTTCTAAAGAGAACCGAACCGAACTAAAATTTTTAGGTATTTAGTAAATAGAACCGTCAGGTCCAAATATAATTATGGAACCGTTTGGGTTCGGTTCGGTTTCATTCTGTACTATAATTAAATTTTTTAACATTTATAACAATATTATATAAATACAACTAATGACACATTCAATGATTTTGAAACATCAGAGACTCGTAGACTACCTTGTTCAAATGATTGCTACGGTCAAAATTTCGGTTGGCGAAGGTCACAGCGTCAGTCGACGATTGTATCGATTTTGAAATGTCAGCGAGATTATGAGAGTCGAGACAGCATTATGCACTTTAGTGTAGGTGTTTAGGGTTATTTAATGGGTTGAATCTTGTTGGGCTAAAAAATGAGACAATAAAAGGGGTAATTGGGCCAAAAATTAAAAAATTAGAAATGAAAAAAATTATTGGGCCAAAGATTTGGATTTGAAAATTTTTAATTTGTTAATTTGTTTATAAAAAATTAAAATTAAAATAATTTGATTTATTCAATATAAAAAAATTTAGAAAGATTCGATTCTTAGGTTCTTGGTCTAGAACCGAGAACCGAACCGTACCTGTCGGTTCTCAATTCAGATACCCGTGCGGGTATTTAATTTCACAAGAACCGTTGGGTTTGGTTCGGTTCGGGTTAGGTTCGGGAGATTTGCCCAACCCTAGCTAGTATCCAAGATTCAACAAACTCGATTTCTTTAAAAATTTTTGGTTCAATTTGAGATATAAACGAACATCTATTAAATTGATTTCTAATAGAAGCTCTAGTGGTAATATCTTTGGATGGATCACCAATAATAAGCTCTTTTGGGTGAAAGGGAACGGACATCCATTCCTTTGATAAAGTTGGATCATTTTCTACTATGGGAGATTCTACTTCACTTTGTTGAATATTTACTTCTTCCTCATGTTGATTTTTAGGGTCTTCCTTGTTTTGATCTTGAACGTTCATTTGCTCGAAAGGAATCTTCAAACCTACATCATTTACAATACCTCTCTTAATCAAAAGAATTAGTTTTATCAAAAGTTATATGCATAGATTCTTCAACTACTAATGTTCTTTTGTTGAAAACTCTATAGGCTTTGGTAATAGATGAATATCCAAGTAAGATTCCAATATTGGATTTTGAATCAATTTTTTCCAAATTTTCTTTTATGTTTAAAATGAAATGCTTGCAATCAAAAACTTTAAAATAACTGATATTGGGAACTCTATTTTTCGAAAGC